TCGGGTGATGGCGCGTCTTAGGCACGTTCCGCCGCGGGTGGTGGTGGTGGTGCTGCGTGCTGCGGAATGTTTCCCGCGCATCGGCAGGTGGAGGATACAGGGAGGTTAGGTACCTGGTCCAGGTAGGTACCTAGGTTAGAAGGTACCTAAAGTCGGGGGGTACCTGAGGTAGAGGTAGGTATGTAGTAAGACAGTAAGTAAGCCAGACACCGAAGCCTAACTCCTCCTCGGTACATCGCCCCAAAGCGGGTCCTCCGGTATCAGGGCGCTTCTCCGTTGGTGGGGGTGCTTATCTGCATACCTGTACCTGCTTGCATTGGGTACCTAAGGTGCCCACCCCTACAGTATTCTAGTACATCGATGTTGGGTAAATCAAGTACCTACATATAAATACACATCAAGAATTATATTTACTTTCTTTTTATTTTATTTCAAAGGAGTACTAATAAAAGCTATTAATCAAGGCGATTAATTAATTAATAGGCTATTATCGTAGGCATATCTCTACCTATTTTGTGAATAATTCCACGTTTTTCTAGCACTCCATTATAATCTGTATCCTCTTTAATCCCATCGTCAACTTGAACTTGAAATTAGCACCTACCTGCCTACCTACCTACCTACCTACCTACCTACCTACCTACCTACCTACCTTACAGCACAGTCAAAATTCCTTTATACCACGCTTACCACCACCCCCAAAGTAGCCGCGCAAAAATCAAGAAAGCAGGCCGAGGACGCCAGCAGGATATCATCTCCTCAGCTATGTTTGCGAAAGCACTAGCAGAACCTCCGGGCCTGAAATAGCTAAACGCGCTCCCTCCCTCTCCCGCAGGTTGCTAGGTAAAGCCTGCGTGAGCATCAGGGCAGGAATCGCCGGTCCTCTTCGAAGCGTCTCGTCTGACGCAGCCACGGCTGCTGCCAGACGTTGAAGAACCCGGCGAGGAAGTGTTCGGAAGTCCCGGGGAGTGGGGGGAGGGGGGAGACACAACGGCCAGCGGGCTTCGTCTGGTCCCCAGTGGCGGGTGATATGAACGAGACGGTTCGCTGTTGGTTTCCGCGTGGCCGGCGTGTATATTTTGGTCGGGTGTGGCACCGCCACCGAATCAAGCAGCCCTCGGCGTTTGTTGACAGGACCTGCAGGTCTCTCTCTCTGTGTGTGTCTCTCGTGTCGCTGCTCTGTCTGTAGGCAGGTAGGTACCCGAGTTAGGATGCCACATAGACGCAAAACGGCCTCGCAGCAGGCGCCCCCAGAGCGATCAATTATTGGAGGGGGCGCTCGGTAGGGTCTGTCTATCGCAGACCAGACGAGGTCGTGCTCCTCATCTCTTAGTAACTGTATCCACAGAGAAACTCCGGATTGGGCTGGTGGCTGGCTTTCGCGGCAAGGTCATACGCGCCTGCGCGATACTGAAGGGTGAGCCGGGGCGGGTTGAAAACATGGTAACGAAGGCCTCCGACAGTAGCGCGCCCCCTTCTTCCCTTCTGCTCATAGCTGCGTTGGCAGGATCCCCTTTGACGCCTAGGGATTCCTAGTGGCGCCGCTAAACCAAGGATTGCCATACCGTGGAATCGATGGTAAGGCGTTTTCCCTGTCCTCGCCCTGCTAGACGTTCTCCCTGCGTCAAGCGTTGCCTAGACGCCGGAAAAGAGCGCGATTAGCAGAGCCCGGGTGACAGAAAGAAGGGTTGGGTTCGGGCTCCGAAAGAGTCGTCCTCCACGCTTCCCCGATGTTCTTCTAGTAGGATGACGTGCGGTTCATCTGACACCTCCTAGAACTAGTTCCATAGAGATTAAGCACGACTCAGTTACACGAGGGCGACGACGCAGTCAATGTGTTGAGGATGGAGTCCGGAAGGATCTTGTGCTCCCTACCGTAGTGTCGAACCGAGCTTCTCTGAATTGACCTCGCAAAGTCTTTCCGACCGCGCTGGGACAGGTGGATCTACGCCCAAGAGCTTTGGGTCAGAAAGGAGGCGTTAATTTCGGGGGGAGTCGTAAAGAACATTAGGGATGAAGCCGTGGAGGCAGCCAACAAGGAACTTGGCTAGATGTCGTGGATGTCGAGGACTTTCGAACACATATGCCGTCTAAGCGATAGAACGCCCCCATCCCCCCGCCTCAGTAGTAGTCACTCGCTTCGGATATTGTGTCCTCTCTCTCTAATCATGTTGTTTGGGGGCCAGCAAAATCGATATTCGTGGCTGTTTGCTGCCCTTCTGAGAGCATACCTTCGCCCGACCAACTTCAGACTCGACTTCATCCTGCTCCCAACGAACTTCCTCACGTCCGCCTAACTCCTTTTCCCCTCCGTCGATGTCCTCCATGGCGGTTGACTCTCTCCCCTCCCACCCTTTTCTGCATGCCTCTGCTAGCTTGTCTAGCTAGCTGACTGCAGGATGGAAAACTGTCGTAACTAACTGCCTTCTCCTCAGCCGCGATGAATTCCGACAGAGCATTAGCCATACCCACGCATAAACACGCCGAGCCTGCTATAGCAACACGCATGGCTACCTAAAGAGCTCGTCTCAGTGTTACAACGGTCGATAGTAGAGAGAACGCTTCGGTCGCATGTCGAATAAAAGCGGGTTCGAGAGTGATGTTGACAATATAACATGGTTATCTCTCTAGCCTTACCTCTACTATCAAGCCGTGAATCCGGGGAACTCGGACGCCTTTGTTATCCCTCTTGGCCTAGACATATGCTGCCGTCCTTGAAAGCTACACCTTAGAAGCGGGTGAGGTCCATTCCTGCATTAACATCATGTTCGAATCGAGTTTGACTTGGTGACGACCACGGCACCCTCGACGAGGTGGTGGAATAGGGGCTTCCCGGACGTATGATACGGGACCAGCCTCGATCCGAATGATACTAACATGCAGAAAGCTTCCTCGATACTCGGTACCACCCTTTCGGACGTCGCCTAGACATCGTAACCAGAGTAGAAGACCGGCCTCGGGATAAAATAGAATTTGGAAAGTCTCTAAACAGCCTTCTCATGCGAGAGTATTGGTAATCATCTGCCTATTTCGATAGCAGCCTAGGAAGCTAACTCATCTCTTACTTAGTAGGGTATACCGCCTTAGCGAGCCCATCCCGCGCCTACTCGATGTATGCTACATATACTGGGTAACTGGAAGAGAGATGCTGTTGTTGGAAGAGCATCTAGGCTCCGCTTCCGCGTCCCGTTGGAGCCTGTGATTGTTTCCTTCAAAACTGGCCCTGATACATGGCCCGTATATCTTGGTCCTCTATGCTATGCCTATCCCGTCGCTACTGCGTCGACTTTGCCTGTCAACCGGCTCCCCTTATGCTGACAGCCTCGACCTGCACCCACCTTTGGTAACTCGAGCCTCTACCCTATCCAGGCATCCAACCCCAGACGGGTGAGGTGGGACATGAGGATACCCTTAAAACCGAGCATCCCGACGCCTTCATCTGTCGAAGGTACGGGGGATTTAAGGCCTCACGTTAGGCGGGTTTCCATAGATATTGAAACCAGCAATACTGCTTGCCTTCGGACAATCCTACAAAGCGATAGAGCAGTCGGTTGCCTCCATACAAGGCGAACACAGCGAAGGTCGAGATAGGTTCCTTCCCCGAATCCCATTCGATAGGTAAGGATAACTTGCTCAGCGGCCTCGACGTCATTTGATGTTTCCGCATAACGAGCGCAAGGTGACTGATGTCGTCGGAACGAGGGGCTCTCTACTACCTAATTCAACTAGGCTAGAATGATGCCGAGGATATAGGCTTCACGTACGGACCTTGCCTCGACATCTCGGTATGCCCAAGGTACTTTATGGTACCTGTTGGGTAGGGACGACGAGTTAAACTAGGGCTAGTTGATGCCGTAGGGGGGCTCGCGTATGAGTAGTCTCGAGCTCAAGAATGCCGTGAAGACCGTCAGTTACTCGAGGCCGGAGTCGTACTACTCGAGCCCGATCCTAGGGTTTCTACGAGAACCGACGCTACATTTATTGCAATGCGTCACTTGGGCATTGGAGGCCTCGGTAAAGGTAGGTCGTGTCGTGCCGGAAGAGCTCCCTTCTCTGTCGTACGATTCCTCCGGGATCTGTGACAACTGCGTGTGCTGTATAGTAGGTAGTATTGGCTCTACAAAGAACCGAGGGCATCGAAGACAAGAACTAGTGGTGTAGTAGATAGTCGCGAGAGCACTACGTCCACTGGGTTCAACAAGTGAAAGACGGCGATGAGAATCTCGCGTAAAAACTGCAGCAAGAAGACAGACGTTGCATATGCAGGGGCGCTGGGCGCCGGGCACCAATGCCCACCGAAGGTCTTGAACCGCCTGTTCTCTTCAACCCCTGGGTCGTAGACATGTCTTGGCTGCTCTACGGAACACGGAAACCAGTGAGACTTCCGGGTTATATGTGGTTAGGGGAGGGGGTTGTTGGGTGGGAGCATCAATAGAGAGAGAACAAGAAGACAGCTTGTTTCTCTCTTCCCCCTCTCTAGAACCCAAAAACAAAGAAGAGAGCTGCTCACAAGACAGGCTATACGTGCCTGGATAGAGAAAAGGCAAGTGAAGACGCCGGCGAAGGGTAGAGGAGAGGCGGTGTTCGGTCTGCGAGCGGATGGACCTCGGCACGCGGAGAACGGGAATGGGTAACGCCGACTGCGCCGGTGCCTTAGGTAAGAAGAGAGTCGGCCAGGACAATCGAGTCGTTGAGTCGCACAGGAGCATCGGGAGCTTGATAATCCGCAGGGTCCAATGAGAACGGCGCGAGCCCTTAACCAGAGCCAGCCCCGGTTGCGGACAGAGTCGCGTCATAAGTTTCAAGATACCTATCCAATACATGGACACGTGGTATTGGTAGCTGTCGATATAGGCGGCGTGCCTGCGCGAGGGCGGCGTGGCGGGGTACTCGCGGTCTGCGTACTGTCGAGGTACTCAGTGGGCCAGGTGTACAAAGCTACGCGGCCTAGTACTGGCAACTCTAATAGGTGGCATTTCCAATTCAACCTGTGCTTTGCATTCTGTCTCCTTGCCGACCTCCAGCAGCCCACCATCTTCTATCACCAAACTCCTTGCCACTACCAACCTGCCATCGTCGACCTGATCGCAATCCTTCCCGTGGTGGAAATGATGGGCACCTAAGCCGTTCCCCCCAGCCACGGCCTCGTATCCATACCTTGCACTTCTTCCATCATCGCCGCCGTCGCCGCCGTCGCCGCCATGCGACTCTTTTGGTACGCCGGGGTAAGCTTCCTTTCCCTTATCGTCCTCTACCACCCGTGACGAACTTCGAAGCTGATGCCATCTCCTGTCGCCCAGACATCAACCGCCCTGGCGGTCGGCGTCGTCGCCTATGCCTTCAACCAGCGCGCCAACTTCTACTCTGCCATGGTTTACCTATCGCAAAACAACCTTAGCCTCATGGTGCGCTCCGCTGCCCCCCCTCCGCCCCTCTACCAGATCGCTGACCCCCGCCGCCCCCGGCGTAGATCCTCGTGAACCTGGTCCTCCTGATTTATGGCTCCTTTGTCTGGGGCCTTCAACGATTGTGTTATGGCCCCCTCCGCCCCGTCGAAATCGAACAGCTGTACGAGAAAGCCTGGTTCGCCGTAACCGAGACCTGCCTCGCCATGACCATCTTCCGCGAAGAGGTTGGCGCCTGGTTTCTCGTCATGTTCACAGCTCTAGTCACCGGAAAGGTCTGGGAGTGGATTGGCGAAGGACGCGTCGAGGTACTCGAGCAGCAGCCCCCCGCTAACCCGCGCCTCTTCCACACGAGACTCAGCATATCCCTCCTGCTCAGCGTCGTATACGATACTTGGCTGTTCACCTACACGGTCAATGCCGTCATCCAGCAAGCTCGACCCAACATGATGGTTATGTTCTTGTTCGAATTCGCTGTCTTGGCTACCTGCTCGTTCCGCACCGGCTTCCGATACGCCTTGTCGCTGGTTGAAGCCGACATCGTCAGAAAGCAGACCCGCCAGCGACTAGAGAACCGACGTAAGCAAGTCCGAGAACAGCGTGCCGATATCATGAGGCGCCGGGAATCTGGGGATGCCGCGGAGGCAGCCGCCGCAGAGCAGGAGGAGCTGCCCAGCGAGGAGGATATTGATGTGACCGATATCGAAGTGCCCGGCTGGGAATCTAAGGGGCAATGGGTCCTAAGCCTCGACCTACTAACTGGTGAGTGTTCCCCCCTCTCCTAAAATGGACGAAAAAGGTGGCGACCTCTTTCTGACATGTTCCTAGACTTCGTCAAGCTTGGGATCTATTCGGCGTTTTTCGCCATCTTAATGATGTTCTATGGTCTACCTATCCACATCATGCGCGATCTGTTCATGACAGCTCGATCCTTTGTCAAACGTCTCAGTGCCCTGATGCGATATCGTAAAGCGCTGCAGGACATGAATAAGTACCCGGATGCCACGCACGAGGAGCTAGCGCGTGAGGACACATGCATCATCTGCCGAGAAGAGATGAGGCCCTGGGACCCATCTGTAGGTGCGGTAGAGCGGTCTCGTCCGAAGAAGCTTCCCTGCGGCCACATCTTGCACTTTGGGTGTCTCAAGAGTTGGTTAGAGAGACAGCAGGTATGCCCAACCTGCCGTCGCCCAGTTGCAATCGAGGGTGGCGCCCCCAATGGCGCCCCAGGTGCGAATTTTGGCGGCCAGCCTCAGGCTCCGGGTCAACCAGCACCAGGCAATAGAGCAGCCAATGGTGGTCAGCCCGCCCCGGCCCGTGGTGCTGGCAATATGCGGGTATTTCAGTTTGGTCCAATTCGGCTGGGGTTTGCACAGGGCAACGCCGAAAACATTCATGAGATGGCACAACGACTCCGTCTCCCCCTGGGTGGCGTCGACGCCCCCGCACCGGCGCCCCCGGCACCGGTTCCGGCCCCCCAGGCGGCCGCTGTCCGTCCTAACGATAGACTTCTCCACCTGCTCCAGATACAAACACAGCTATATGACATATCGGAGCAGATTCAAGGAGAGTTAAGGACCGTACAGGCGAGCCAGGCCGAATTGCAGGTTCTCCATCATTTGCTGCTAGAGTTCGACCGCGTTCGCGGCCCGCCTCTGGAGCCTGAAACTGCGCCGGCGGCCCAAAACGGACAGCCAGGCGTCAACGTCCAGTTTACTTCTTACCAACCTATCGTGCCACACCAACCCCTTCCCCATTTTCAACCGATGACACAGACACCTCCCTTTCTACCCTTCCCCTCTACTTTGACACCGACCGTGACCAGACACGGCGGTGTACCCTATTCTGCTGCCATCCCTGCCGGCAGTCCAGAACTTCCCGAAGGAGTTGTCATCCCTCCTGGCTGGTCATTGCTGCCTCTGCAGCGCCTCGATGGCCAGCCATCACAGCCTACGGGTACCCACCAACCCGCCCAACAGGTTGATACCAATGGCCAACAGCCACAGGCCGCCGAAGCGGCCAACACGAGTGCCGTCACCACCAGCGCTGCCTCGGTTTCACGACCGTCGAATTCTAGGGCTGGAGAGGCCGACCTCCGACGTCGCGAGGCGTCCCGTGGCGGACTTGTAGAGAGTTCTACTCCGACTGCTTCACATCAACAGAGAGAGCCTCCGGTCGTTGCGGCCCCTACGCCGGTTATGCCCAATTGGGGCAGTGCTGCACGGCTTTTTGCCGGTAGTAGCGCCGACAGCTCTGCCTCTACGGCTGAGACGGGGACAAGAGCCGAGGAGGCCACGACTTCTGAGGAAACCCATAGTCAGAGCTCGGACGACGAGCATGAGGCACCAAGCAGCGACGCGAAAGGGAAGGCGAAGGCAGTGACGGTCGAGGACGCGGAGGATGAATAGATTCGTTTATGCTGTCTTTCCGAGTCATGTTTCTGAGCCCGTTCGCGCGGGAAAACTGCATCAGGGCAAGGCGTTGGTGGGGTTCCGGAGATTCATGTCTAGAAAAACACTGAACTGTCGAGTTATACCTAATCATCAGGGAATCTCCCACCTCAGCACTTGACCTCAGGGGAGGATATGTCTAGGCACCCACGGCTCTGATTCGACTTTGCACCATCAGAGGGCGGTGCCGATGGAAAATGATGTATCTACACGAAGTCAGTGGGTAACAAAGTGGCCATCGTCCTGGCAGGGTGAGATCGATGAGATCTTTTTTTTTTCGCAGACGTATGTGCCCTGACGCTCGCGGCCTCCCACGGCCTCTCTTCCAAGGTAGAAAATGGATATCCTTGTACTCATATTGATTAGGGTGGTATTCTAAGGCTCAGTAGAACGAGTAATTGCCATCGCGCTATCACGTCCTGAGATACTCATTTCGAGAACGGATGTTTATAAATATGCTCATTAATCAAGTCTTGGCCTCGGGAAGTAGTCTATCATGCTATGAACATTTCCCGCCGCCATTGCCACTGTTGAAGAGACTGCCCTACCATGTCGTCCGCCAAAACTAAAGGAGTGCAGGTAAGGAGGCGAGCATAGGTGCCACCGAGTCTCGCCATAGAAATCACATGCCTACGCGTTACACGAAGAAATTAGTATGGAGTTGTCGCTAATTATAGAGCGCGAGTTTCCCAGCTGCGAGGCTCCGACTATCTTCGTCACACTAGAGGCGAGGCCACACGGTACACAGCACACGCCTCTCTGTCTCTGCCTCTGTGCCGCAGGACTGGGAGTACTAGGTGCGGTGGGCCAGCCACGCCACGTCGTTGTGGGTTAGAAAGTTATCACGACCTGGGCGTAGCTCCCGGTCGTCTGGAGGTGGTGGGGAAGAAGAGGAGCTGAGGATAGGACCCCTCGCGGCGTCCCCGTCGATTATCGTGATCCTGCTGAGCGTGAAATCGGACGTCTAGCCCCTTTTGCGCCCGCCTAGACACACCCCTGCCCGGGCCCAGGAGAGTCGGGCCCGGGTCTCGGCTTACGAGGCGCCCTTGGAGTTGCGGTGTCTGCACCGACCTATGTCAGCTAGCGAGGATACTTCGCGTCAAGCCCTCTCCTCCTATCGTCGATATCCTCAACCCACTCCCCTCTTCCCTCCCCTTTCCCTTTCTAGGTGTGGAGGCGCCGGAGAGAGAGAGAGGGAAGGGAGGGGGGGTAGAGGCGGTTACCTGGCAGTGTGACTAAGGGCTCTTATTAACGGGAAATAAATAACGGGGCTCGTAGTTAGTAAACTGACGCTTGGTCGAATCCTGCGTGTCCTGGCTTGGGACCCCGTCCCCTCGGGCACGGCTACCCAGCAACGTGGTCGAGTGCTATATATGGTTTTGCCACCTGTTGGAAGTAAGCGGAACGAGGCTATCCTCTGACCGATGCGTATCCTGTTGCTGATGCTAATATGGGATTCGGAACGTACTAGCCCTTCCGTAGACGAGGGAAAGCATGTAGTTTCGAGAGGCGACATCCACCTACTCTCTAGGTAAAACTAGAACCTCATTAAATGGAGGGCGTCAGAAGACTAGGGCCTCTGGTGCTGCGAGGCGCACGTCTTACTGACCGTCGCCGATGGGCGCGGGTAAGGTAACGCAGACACTTCCTCGCTATAGGGCGAGGATGGGTGTGCTCGGTCTAGACACCTAGATCCGGCCTCTCCAAGATCAGCCAGGGCGTGTCGAAAACAGCACGTTCGGTAGGCATACCAAGACGGAAATCCGAGAAGGCGGTAAACTAGGTAGAGAGAGAATGGGGGTCGACTCCTTATGAGCTATAGAGTAGTGCTTAGAAGAGGCCGAGGGAATAACTCTCGTGTGTCGACTTCGTAGATATTAGCTCCTGTTCCGTGATTTCGGACCTATGTAGTCGGGCGTCAATACGAAAAGAGGGTAGGGTAGGGCGGTGATCCCAGTCGTGATTCCGTGGCAAAACTCGACAAATAAAGTAGAGTAAGCCCACGTTCTCCCAGCCGGAGGAGAGGATGGTCTGGTCAGATTATATCTACGAGGCTAGCTAGCCGTCTAACTCCATAGAAATACATTTATGACTAGTCGGAGAGCGGAGACGAGTAGGGGAAGAACTCCAAGGTGGTGTACGCAGTTCTGTCGCCGCTCGCGGACAGCATCGTGTTACGGGCACTGTCCGGCAATAGTAACCTATCTCTCTCTCGCTCTCGCTCTCGCTCTCGCTCTCTCTCTCTCTCTCTCTCTCTCTCTCTCTCTCTCGCTCTCGCTCTCGCTCTCGCTCTCTCTCTCTCTCTCTCTCTCTCTCTCTCGCCACTAGCATACATCCCGCGTTCCCAAAAGAGGACGTATGGACGCCGCGTATGTATGTAGAGCATGGGCAGCAAGCGCTCACATCTTTATCCGCCGCCGCAGCCCTCACGAAAATCTCACGTAAGGTAGACCACCCACTCGTGCCCCCCTGCCCACCTTTGCCTTGGCCAACGCACGCATACACGCACCCAACGCGCGACCCAGCAGCTTGGAATCAATCGGCTCCACGGCACTCCGATGCGATGTCTAGCCAGCCATCCCACGTGCGTAAGCCGGCGGGCGCTCCTGCTTATGAGGGAGACTAGGGGGAGTGGAGGGGCCAGACGGCGACAGATGAGCGGTCAGGGAGGAGGGGCAGGAAGAGGAACAGGGGATGTATGTGCTCAGCAGCGCCGTCTATCTCGGCCGGTGGCCGTAGGCAGGCCTGCTTGCTTTGGCGCTGCTGCTGCTTACCTACGCCTTCGATCCCAGAAGCGACTAGAACGGAGGCGAGTTCTCTCGCCTCGGGAAGAGAGAGAAACATCCGTGTGATCTGCTCAGCCCATCCCGTCGGCCGTCGGCGAGCCTGCGGACAAGGACGAGAGACGGGACGACGCCAACGGGGCCAACTCGCAGTGTCCACGTCCCACGTGCTGACGTCGTCTCGTCCCGAAGCCCGCCCTGACCCCCACCGCCCTCCTCCCAGTCCAGGCCGCCGGCGCGAATCCCTGGGTATAGACACATCTATGTGCGTACATCCACGAATCCCCATACCTCCGCATATGCGCATACGCAACCCGCGGCCGCGCAGCGTGACGTCGTGCGACGTCGCCTTTCTCACCCCCCTCCCTGCGTCTGCGCCGGGGAGATAAGCGAGCAGTAGGCAGGTATGCGTATGCCGGGCATAGGGCTGAAAGGAGCACCCACCCACAAATCCTCGCCCTCCCCGAACGACTGAGGATCCCTGAGGGCAACAGGTGAGGAAGATATCGGGTTGGATCCGGGTGCGATCGGAAATGGCGAGGAACTGCCCTTTCTCGCTTAGTATATGTCTTTACAGAGGGAGCGAGATGGTAGAGGTGAAATGAGGCTAGATTCATCGCCTTGGCTCACTCGCGTCGGCAACCTATCGATGTAAGTCTGCCTCGTACTAGAACGGCCATGTTTGCAGCACGGATACATACGCGGAGTCGTCTGTGTCGACACCACACTTAGAACTACTGAACGGGCCTGAAGTTCAAGTGATAACATAGAAACCTCGCAATCCCAGGTATTGGGCATATTAAGAGCAGTTCGCAGAAAAAGATCAAGAGTCAAGCCACTGGGTTGACCGGAATGTAGATAGAGTAGACTTTGATATAGATACTGTCCGAGCCGCTTTCCGAAATGCGTACGCCGAGGTAGTACATAGGCGCCTGGGCAATTCAGAAGAATTCCCTCCACTAGATGATATGCCCGATCCACCCTCCTTAATGTGGTCCTTGTTGATATTACCGAAGTGAGATAGAGAAATGCAACCCCCTGTGACGCCGTTTATATGCATGGATGCCGGGCCGCCCTCCTGGGACAATGCAGACGTAGGAAATATGCTATTACTACTCCTTGACCGGTAGCACGAACCGAACCCTCTTCCGTGGCTTTGCAGCCGGTATGTCTATTGGTTGCGTCTTCCTCTCCTCGCCCTCAGAAAGGTACTCGACGCTCAAACCCATCTCGCTCATTGTCTCCTTTTCCGGTTCCTCTTCGATAGAATATACATCGGGACTGGGTTCGCGCCATGAGTGGCGTCGTTGAAGCGATTGATACGGCGACCTCCCGCGAAACGAGCGTCGTGGTGGTGCGAAACGCCTAGGTGGCCGTTCTTGAGGCGATCCGACATGAAATGATGCAGGGGATAACAAGGATTCTGTCGTTTGGGATATTATGGTGGAAGTAGGCCGCGTTTGGTCGAAAAACCTCTCAAACTCGAATGGCAACGACGTATGGCCGTGAGGATGGAATCGGATATACTCCTCGTCGTCACTTTCGTCGTCCTCGTCGTCGTCATCCAGGATGGCGCAGTCTGCCAGCCTGTCTCTGGGCTTATATTTCCTAAGGCCATCAAGGGTGGATGGGGAGACGGTCCGGGTGATTTCCTGGGGCCGGTTGGAGTCTTCGATTCCCGCGTCAAACTCGAATTCGAATTCCAGGTCCTCGCCTTTGGGGGTTGGCGGCGTCAGGAAATACATCATAGGATTTTCGCTGGACCACGGCGCATCTGGCTCGTCCTCATCTATCGAATTACTGTCGTCTTCCAACGATGGGGGAAGGCGGCTGGGACTCGGCGGCCAGGACGACCCGGGCCGGTCACGCAGGGGCGCGTCAGTCGGTAGCGGAGGCATGATGGTAGTTGTAGTAGACAGTGGGAGTGGGGGGAGAAGTTGGGGATGAGGCCAAACAGTAAGGAACTAGGCGACGATGGCTGGATTCCGCGTCGAGGTCATCACTAGAGGTTTATACCAACGGTCTGAGCGAAGTGCAACTGAGGCAGCCTGCCTTCTTGTGTTAACCCTAACGAGGGGCTGCCGGGCTCAAGCCGGCTCAGGTAACAGTTATCTTGAGAAGAGGCGAAAAATGAGAAAATCGAAGCCGGCCCACCACCCTAGAAGAAGAGACTGCGGGATCGTTGCAACGGAGGGAGCAAAAAGGGAAGGGAACTAGAATAGGCGGCCAGGCTGCCGAATATATACCACAGCGATCAGGCAGGAAATATATTCCCGGCAGTTTTGCGAGTCACCGGTCAGCTTGGAGGGACTGCCTTGTGAGTCGGCAAGCTGGGGGAAATGGTGGTCATGCCCTAGGGAGCCCAGCTGGAAAAGGAACGCTGTAGAACGCCGACGGTGCTCGTGAACGACAGTGCATCTTCGCAATGAATCATCGAATTGGGGGGGAGGCACAGCCAGCAATAGGTCCTAAGCTGATTTCCCAAAACAGCATCACGCGTCCAAGAGGGTGTGAGAACTGATTTAAACCTAGGTTGGTGGGTGGGGGTCGACGGCCTTGACTGAGCGTAAGCCTGCTTTCCAAGACATCGGGGCCACCCATCCAGGTTGAGTCGGATAGCCATCTGACAATGGTATGCGCATATCGAGAGCCGAAATGTCCGGGTGCCCGTGGTTTGGGTCCATCGTTATTTTGTGATTGCGACGCCTTGAGGCTCGTGGGCCGCCTTGTGATTCGATGCCGCCGAGCTCGATCGAATTGAATCGCTGCTGGATGGACGAATACGTATGCATCGTACCTTGCAGGATGCTGGACTGCGGCACCACTGACGGCGACGCGAATTTGTCCAGCTTCCACGACCATCAAGCACGGCCCCGATAACTTTTTTCCCGCTTCGTCAGTTGTCGCATACAGAGCCGACTCCACGACATCGATGTACTGAGGCTTAGAGCCGTCGGCGTCAGCATCACCCTCATGGTTACTAATATACCTACAGTCCTGAGATACATAGAGGTTGGCGCTTGCAGGGGGGAAGCATTCACCTAGTTGGTCACTAAGAGGATGGTAGAATTCCACCTGACCGTGGTAGAGGCTGTGATTTGCTATCCGGCCGGAGTCGAAGCACACAATCTTCCTTTGATGAGGGATAGAGTACTAGAGGCGCCAGCGCGACGGATGTGGCTCGTTTCCTGGTTTGGAGTAGCACCAACACCCCAAACGAGAAAGTGGTGTTGTATTTGTCGTGCCCGGCAGCCGTGTCAGATGACGGAAAGTGAGCTATCAAAAGAAGAGGTCTTGATCCGTCGTAGCAACGCAGAGTCGCAAATCCGCAACGACGCCGGCATTTGACTGTACTTCGGCGTCATCCGAACGGTCATGAGCAATCGATTAGCGGTCACCTCCTACTACATCGCGAAGACCTGCTTCTCTCGGTATTGCCTCTTCCATGCTATCGTGACGAGGGTACGAGAGGAGAGAGAAGCGCCGAAAGACATGCTGGGGTTGGGTCTGGGCGGCAGTTGGGCGAAAATCCGATCCAAACTGTGCCAGAATCATACCTAGCATCCGGCTTTCTTGACATCAGAGTTAGCACGTATCCGTATCCAAGGAGACGACTGTTAATACGCCGGCAGTAGCGCAACAGTCCCGTCTCGATTAGGGCTGGCCTGGGCGTGCGTCTCCGTCAGCGCAAGTGGGCGACAAGGCGTGCGGCGCCAGACGTGGTCCGATGGAGGAGAGCCACGGCCGACAGGTATACATTAGGTCGGTAGTGTATCATATCGTCAGGCACGAAGACAGGGGGCGGAAAGGAAGCTAATCTGCCTGTCAGGATTCGTAGCAGGTTCGGTAGCAGACCTCATCGTCCCTCCACAGATCGGAAGTGAAGATCTAGGTAGACGAGGCTCAAGCTGCAGCGTCCCTGCATGTCATCTCTTGACGTGCATACCCATATGAGTGCTGGCAAATTGGATGGGGAGGAGGGGAGGTTGTACTAGCACCGCCGAAGGGCCGACGTGGTTGGGCTGGTGATCATGACCCCAGGATCAGATCTAGACGGAGTTGGGGGGGGAGGACAGAAGAGGTGAAAGGGATCAGGCGGTACGTAAGGTAGATATCTGAATTATCATCTAGAAACGTACCCGCTTAGAAAGCTTTGCGGTTACGCATATTAATATATCGAAGCGTATGAGTAGTGTATAGGTATAATATTTTATACCTGTGCCTATACAGACATTTATGTAACATTGTAAGGTAGAGAGGTGGGTACGTGTGTATATACTAACATTTCCTCAAGTACATAATATTATGTCAGGTACCTAGTCTAGGTAGCTTAGGTGGTACACCAGCGGGTACCTGTACCTACTGTAGGTACCTACCTCTTAGGAACCTGTATACGGGCATCCATACCTGTACTAATCACGTGCAAGGCCCTTCAAATCGAAAGAGTTTAGGCCCTCACGTGGAACAACCTCGTGCGTACTCGTATACCAGGGACGCGTTTAAAAGACTGTGCTTCCATTTTAGAAGGTCGCCCTTCGTCTTCCTCCCTCCCCCTACAACCTACCTCTTAACCTTCCTCTTGCCGGACGACGACTTCGTGCCCAGGACCTGCCTAGTAGGCATAATCGCTGGCTCGGGTCAAAAGGCATTGGAGGCGTAGGCTTAGGACGGACCATCTTCTACTCAACCCCTCCTCCGCAGACAGGAATGGACATTTGTTCACATTCATAGGATACACATGCAGCGGGACCGCCCTCCAGTCAACCACGGGCTCTCTTCCAGAGATGGCGGCATATTGCAAGCGTTATTATTTCCTGTCTCCCACGACGTATGGCGTCCCGTCTCAAGGGGTTCCTCCCCACACAACCCTAGCCAAAACGCACTGAGCTTTGCAACCCAAACTGGATTTCGAATACTTTCCGATTGTCCCGACACTCGTATGCAGTTGCAAGACAGCATGGGCCCTCGATGTTGGGATATCGCCGGCCGTGTTTCCAGCTGTGGTTGGGCACCTATCTCTTTTTTAGGAGGAGTAAGGTCACCCTGCGGCATCTCGGTAAACTGTGCCCAACCTTCGCGGCCTTGTGATGCCATTACGAAATCCCCCCCTTCTTTTTGCAATGCCTGAGCAACACGTCGAGGACAGCTGTCATGATTACGCGGCCTTCCTGCGTCCGGCCCAAGCAGTCGTATGCCGGTTACGCCGTTTCACTGCTTTGGGATGGGTACCGCTTTCTGCGTGTGGAGCCGGCTCTCTCCAACATGAGAAGGGTGAGTTATCCCTCGATCCCTTGTACTGGGAGACAGGAGCTGGACGATATGCCGACAAAATAATCTTCAAGCAAACCTTTATTTTTTTATAGAGTTGACATAGTACCGCAAACTGGCCGGTTGGTATTGGAGTCGTTGCCTACAAAGAAGCAAATTTGTCTCCAGTTGTGTCGTATAACCCCCGAAGCCATAAAGACGTGGGGATCCTAGAGAGGGTGCCGGCAATCGCCAATGGACGCCTGGTTGGGATTATACTTCGGCACACACCCATTTTTCCAATGCCTTATCTCTTGGATGAATATGGTAAGGGAGGCGTCGTTGGGATGATAAACTTAGGAATGGCTATATCAATTGACGTCTTGAACCTTGCGTCCGAGAGTCGACGCCGGGAGCCGAAGAGCGTCGCTCCAAATATCGGAGCTAGGATGAATTGCCATCCTATTTCGGAATGATTAGGTCTGTCAGCATATTGGCGAAATTCTTTTCATCCCCCCTCAACCGGGCAATTATTGCTGGTATAACGATCTTGACGGTTGTTAGCAGTCTATCCATCTTGACTGACTCCATTTGGGTGTATGAAGTAATCATTCCGCTTAGTCTCTTATCCGACTCTTAGGATTGAACGTTAGCGCCCAAGCATTCGTTGGTACGAAGCCTTAGGAATATGTGCCTTAGATTGGGCTTGTTGGGGTGGCTTGAGCCGACGTCTCCGAGGTATCACTGTGTTCCTAGCCTCTGCTTGTTGGCAACTTACACGAAAGCATCAGCCCCCCAAAGCCACTTCGGGCGCGTTAAGCAGGCCCGCTCATCCCACACCTATGGTTCTAGGGACTTATGATCTCCCGCCCTAGAATGGGACCAAATTGTGGAAGAGCTGGTGTCGATGTGTCGTTGGTGTGTGTTGAGAAAAGAACCCCCTTTAGCGGATCTGGGGACGATGCCGGCACGACGCGAAGCCCGAGTCCCAACGGGAAAATTCACAGCGCATGTAGCTTATCCTCGACGACAGAGAGTGATCTCACCGACACAAGTGCTAGAATCGGTGGTTCGGTGTTGAGGCATCACAGAGAGTTGTACAGCATTGGTGACATGTGTCCGTCTCCCTAAGGTTCTAGGACATGAATGTTTTTCTTGTCGGTCGCCTCGAACATGGAGAACATTGCTTAGTATACTAGGGGATATATTAATGGTCGGGTAGGGGGTGGCTATCTCCCGTGGCGTCGGTCTGCCCGAATTGTTTGGCACAGCATTTTGTGCCCTTGGATCGAATAAGTTGACCGCTGTTTCGACGGCATCCTGCTTCTTGGATGTCGGTAGAGCGCCTGTATCTCTCCAGTTTCAACCATCCAATTGCCGAGGGAATCCCCACCAAGTTGACGAGTTAAACACCGTCATAAAGGGGGGAGGAGTTTCTGCGCCTGCAGAGAGAAGCCAGCGATGCTCGACCCAGCCAACCAATATCATACCAGACTCTCACCGAAATATTGTTCGGCTGCCGGCCGGCTGACAGTACTGTGGTAACAGACCACAGGCGTGTGTGTATCATCCAGTACATTTCTGTGGCAAATGTCAGCCTCATGAGATGTCCGGGTGTTGTGCCACTCTCGCTACTTACACATGCGACCCGGTGGTCATGTATGACCCATCCGTGGGGACGTGCCGACATAAAAGCTACGGAACGGTACGTGGTTAGCTTGATGCTGGGGAGTACGATCTGTAGAGGGATCACGCGTCTGCCCGTATATATGGTTGAGGTTGTTGTCGTGTTACATCTGGACTCTTGCATCTGCATCATGGCTTTGTTGCTGTGTGGCTACCCCATATCTGAGTGGTGTGAGTCTCCGTGTCCATACCAGACCGAGACAGCTACGCTTACTATGAGGCATGAAAGAA